ACCTTGAAGAGACTATATCACTATATGCTGAAACCTGAAAAATCCTAAGTACACTGGAATATGTGACAGATTATGCTCTGCACCTAATAGTAAATACTAACTTTCAACCTTTGTTCTTGGAGTGAACTCGATTGTTTTGCATTAGCTAGAGGAGTGTGCATCCAATAAATATTGAGTTCCTACTATGTAAGAGGCACTGTTCTAGGCACAGAACTCATACCAGTGAACAGACAAAGGACACTTAATTTTAAAAAGGGTAATCAGACCAGGTGTGATGGCACAGGCCTGTAATCGCAGCACTCAAGAGGATTGCTGTGAGTTTGAGATCAGCCTGGACTACATAGTGAGTTCCAAGTCAGCCTCAAATACATAGTGAGACCTTGGCCTCTAAATAAATAAGATAATCAGAGCCTCGGTAAGGTGACATTTAAGCAAAGGTTTGACAAAGGTAGTGGAGAAGCAGGCCAGGCTGTGTGTTGAGGTGCTGAGTCAGGGTTTTCTGGTCCATTTAAGAATCACCAAGGGCCAGGATTTAGCTCAGTGCTGCCGCCACCTGCCTCACAAGCCACAAGGCCCTGAGTTCGATCTCCACTACCAAGAATCATAAGACCAGTGTGAGTGGAGTGAGAGTGGAAGGAGTAGTAGAAAATCAAATAAAGATATAGGGTGGGGTGGGACACTGACTTAAGTTTTCGCTATGTTAAGGATCCAGCTTGTATTATGAAAAGGGAAATTTAGGATTTTTGAGAGGGGTAACACTTTTAAAATCTTCCAGCCACTACACTGAGTTGATAATAAAGTTAGAGGGGACTTGAAGAGCAGAAAGTTTTCAGTGGACTTTAGCAGCTTGGTTCTGGACAGATTAAATTCCATGCTCCTGGTAAGAACTTTTAATAATGCAGTTGGATGTTCCAGTCTGGAGCCAGGAGAGAAATCTAAGGTAGTGTTGTAAATGTGAGTGTGTAAAGCCTTGGGCTTGGATGAGATCAACAAAGAAATACAGAAAAGATAACTGGGGCATTAGAGGTTGAGCAGACCTCCAAGGAGGAACCAGCATCGAGACAGAAGCAGCAGTGAGGAAGGCACACAACAGGCTCTGGACATGGGTTGCTTGGGTTAGTAGCTGCTTACCACATGGGACCACTCACTAAAATTTTCAATTCAGTTCCTCAGTCACAGGGGCCATGATTCAGGGGCCCTGCCCATTCCTCTGGCATGGGAAAATTCGAGCAGTGCCACCATCACTAGAGTTCTGCTGAACAGTGCTGGTCCAGAAGTCAACTGGAGAAAGTCTCATAGAACAGTGTCAAAAATTGCTAATAATTTGAGAACCAAGATTTGACCACTAGTTTAGTGTAATAGGATAGCAGTTTTTGTAGGAGGGAGGTAAAAGCTTGACTGGAAGAAGGTATTATGGGCAAACTGGAGAGGATTTGAAATCAGAAAATACAGCTCTAAAGATGTGCAATTAGAATGGCTGTGGTGAATTTAATGCAAACCTTGTTGAAGGTGTTCTAAAGCACAGATCTCACGACCAACAACTAATTCCAGTAAACATTACAGAAAAACACTGACCCACTGACTCTCCACCTTCACAGAAACATTCAAAAGGCCTTTAAAACTCTTTTGGCTGGGGCCCACTCCTAAAGACTGATATAATAGGTTGGGAAGGGACTTTTTAGCATTGTTTGAGGGGTTTCGCTTTGTTTTTATTTCCTTGGGTAATCCTAATAAACAGCTGTAGTTCAAGACCCGTGCAATGGGACTGGAGATGTAGCTCACTGGTAGCCCTCAGGATGGCCTGGATTTAATTCCTAGCACTATAAAAAACAAAGACTTGGGTGGGGGATGTATCTCAATTCTGCCACGCCTGCCTGGTAAGCACAAGGTTCTAAGTTCGATCCCCGGCACCAGAAAGGGGCGGGGGGACCCACTCACTGCCTTTGACCAAAACAGAAATACTAATGCATGATGATTCCCAATCATAGTCCAAAATTATATGGAACTTTGTTGAAGTATGTATAAAGTGATGGGACATAATTCATGCAAAAGTGAGCCATGTGTGGGCCAGGGATTTAGCTCAGTGGTTTTTCTGCCTGCATCTCAAGGGGCAGGGACTCAAGTTTGCTCCCCGGTACAAAAAAAAAAAAGTGAGCCATGGTGGCTTGCTGAGTTGGTGTGCACCTATAATCCCAGCACTCTTGAGTGGCTGAGACAGGAAAGTTACAAGTTTGAACCCAACCTGGGAAATTCATCAAAACTCTATCAGAATGTTAAAGGACTGGGGATAGAGCTTAACGAGAAGGCCCTTGGTTCAGTTTTCATAACCGGGGGTTAAAAAAAACAGCCATGCAACATTATGTAAGCTCCCATGTCTATTTTATTTTTACTTTTTTCCAGTACCAGGGATCAAACACATGACCTTGCACTACAAGGCAGGCACAGTGCCACTGAGCTAAATCCCCAGCCCTCTTGTTTGAGATGGACAATGTCAAATCCACCATTCCATCAAGGAGGAAAGCAGCACTAGTGTTACGCTTTGGATCAAAAGGTCCCCCAAAGGCCTCATACATATGTAAGTGGGGCTTTTGGAAGGTGATTGGATCATGGAGGCAATCTAGCTGACTTGGGGTTAGAAGGTGGGGTCTGGTCGGAAGAGTCGGGTCACTCGGTGTATCTCACTTCCAGGCTACTCTCTTTGCCCTCTACTTCCTGGCCTCCGTGATATGAGTAGGTTTCCTCTGCTGGGGCCCCTCCTTCCTTGGAGCCAGCTGAATGAACATGGAGTGAAAACAAGAGCCAAAATGTACTTTTTAAACTGTGAGTGTTGAGTATTTTGCACCAGTGACAAGAGGTAACTAAGACAACTAGATAATCTTAATTTAAAAAGACTACTACTGCTGATGAACAGATATACTGGTTTGACTATTTTATGGATGTGGTTACTCTCATGTGAGAACTTTATCTCATATTTCCACTTCCCTAAAAAAGAGCTTTTTGTTCACTGTAAAGGTTCTGAAATAGAATCAAGTTTCTAAACTTTAGGAAATCATGGGCTGGGGATTTAGCTCAGTGGTCTATGCCTGCCTTGCAAGCACAAGGTCCTGAGATAGATCTGTTAATGGAAGAAGAAAAAAAAATTAGGAAATCACATTTTTACTTTAAAACCAGAAAAAAAGTATCTGACATATTTCAGTGAAAAACAACAGGATTATTTTGAGTATAGCTGGAAGTAAAATGACTTATTTGGTCATAGTGGGAGACAGCCCTATTTTTCCTATAGGAAAGCAAATACTTAGAAGTTACGGATCCTGGGATGCTTGTTCCTTCCCTAAAGTCCTAAAGTCCCTGAAGCAGTTACATATTTGCCACTCATCTCACTACATAAGCCTGTATTCACTGCTTTTCATATTTCAATATGAATATGAAATACATGATTTGCTATTATACTGTCTCCTATCTATTCCAGTCTCTTCCTCAGTATCTTACCCTTTTTACCCTACCAAAAGAATGCTTTGAGCTATTAAATAGCCATAAAAAACTAGACATATCTACATCTTGCATAAATAATTCCTAAATAATCAAAAAGCAGATTAACTCTGAAATCTGAAAATTGTAATTGTATTTGCAAATACTGCATTAGTCCTTCTCTTTGTAATCTTTCTGTGTACAGGGCAGTATGATCATCAGAGATGTTTAGTCCTAAACATTTACTTCCAAATCAAAATTCAAGAATTACAAATATAAAAAAAAACAATCTACTTCACTGAAAAGAAACTATTACTTCACAAGTGGCAAATTCACAAACTTTGTAGTGCATCCAGCACTTACAAGACAAAAGCATTTCCAAACTGTCACTGCTGCAAGACTAATAAAAACAGGAGAGTACTCCATGTATTTATCCTTTTAAAATTTTTTTTTTTTTTTTTTTTTTTTTAGATAGGATCTCATTATGTAGTTCAGGCTGTCCTCAAATTCCTGGTGATCCTCATGCCTCAGCCTTTGGAGCACTACCACGCCCAGATACTTTTATTGTTTTTTGAGAAGATATAAAATAAAATGTTAAAACTGTTCTGTGACCATGGACAGCTTAATTCCCATTCCTCTTCTGTAAAATGACACTAATATCAGTATACTAAAGGACTACCATGAAAAAAAAAAACACTCAAGGGACTGGGGATGTAGCTCAGTGGCACTGTGCCTGCCTCACAAGCCCAAGGTCCTGAGTTCGATTCCCAGTATCAAATTAAAAAAAAAAAAAACATTACCAGTGGGCTGGAGATTTTGAACTGCTTATTTGGAGAATTGAGTATACTATATTGAAAGATTCAGAGACTAGAACTATCACTGTGATAAGGGAGGTTCTGCTTTTGAATTACAAAGGTACTTGCTTATCTTTTCAGTAAATGTCTGCTGTGGAATGCTTAGCCTTACTTTCTGGTCAAATGTAACAAAGTGAGGTTGCTAACTTTCAGGTTTCCAGTAGCTCAGTCAAACAGAAATTTTTCTAATATTGCCATTTCCACTCTTTGGCACGATGAGGGAGATAGTACCCACCCAGTGCGTAAACACTTGCCATCTGTGAAAAGCACTATAGTACATGTTACAGAACACAAGCATCAAAATGTGAATGTTTGTCATAACCCTGTTACTTAGCTGTGTGACCTTTGACAGGTTACTTAATTTCTGCCTCAGTCATCAATAAAATCTGGGTAATATTTTTTTTTTTTGGTGCGGGGATCAAACTTGGGCCCTTGCGCTTGTGAGGTAGGCAAGAGAACCACTAAGCCAAATCCCTGGCCCTAAGTCTGGGTAATAATTGCCATCTCAGGGCTACTGCAATACAAGAATTCAAATAAGGTTCTTAAAACAGGCTGAACAGAGTAAGCACCAAAAAAAGTGACCATTAATTAAAATGTATTTTAAAATGCTGTCCAGTACTAACATAACTATAAAAATATATCCTGATCTTAGAAAAGAAAAAAATAAAACTATTTCCATTTTTTAGTCATTTGTATTGGTACCAGACACACAGTATTACAAATGTAGAGGAGGAGGTACATATCTTCATACAATTACCTGAAGACCTGACCTTGGCCAGAAAATCAGGATGATGACATGATAGTAGCTTTTAGGAGGATGTCATGCTGTGAAGGAGTGGACTAAATTACCTGTTTCTTTTCACGGACCACCTCTTCCCATCTTCTGTGCACAAACTATTTTTAGACTTTCAAACATTTAGTCTCCTCCCACACAGCTTTTTAAAACTGGTAACACTGATGATGATTCTAGCCATTACCCAGAAAAAGAACAAATTCTGCTTATCAGATAGCCATCGTGGCTGGGGGTGTAGCTCAGTGATATTATTGTGCTTGGCATATGCAGGCCCCTGGGTTCAGTCCCTAGCACAAGGAAAAAAAAAACACCCACAGCAGTCACCTCAATAATTTATACCAAAAATAATAATAATTTATACCAACTCCTCATAAGCTGAAAACAAGCAAACATAAACATTCAGTTTAGCTACAACAAGATAAACTGGTCTTTTAGCTTGAAAGATTTTAGAGCAAGTCAAGTAATTGTATAAAATTTAAACTTTATGACCATGTTTGGACCTTTTTACCACTTAACACAATGGAAATGTTCATATTCATTTTTTCCCCAAAGGAAAAACTTATGATCATCACTGTTGCACAGTAGAGTAGAAATATGAGTTCAGGTACTTAAGTTTCTAAACAATGCAAGTAACGAGACACAATTTTACTTCCAAAATTTGAAGTTATCAACACGATTCTGTATCTCAGGATTTACCTTAAAAGTCATTATTCAGGGCTGGGGATTTAGCTCAGCGGTTCAGTGGCCTGCCTTGCAAGCGCAAGGACCCGAGTTCGATCCCCAGTACCAAGAAGAAAAAAAAAAGTCATTATTCAAATAAAGATAGTTCCCTAGCCATTTTTTAAAAAGCCTCAGCCCTACCACGACTTCCTGAGATCTGTGAAGAAACTGCAGTTGTGTGATCTCACTCCATATAGTTCTGGCAGTTTTGTAATCACAAGGAAAACCGGTGACTGATTTATGTGTCAATCAACTGTAGTCTGCTGATCTGATTAGAAGCTTTGACAAATGCCTGGTGGCGATTGCAAATAACTGCCAAGCATATGGGGATGATACAGTAGCCCACTGTTTTGGGATCAGCTCTTGTACAAGAATAAAGAAACAAAAACATTTGTAAATAAGGAATTAGAAAAATAATCGTCCACAACCAAAAAGGCAGAGAGAGTAACCGAACTTTCAAGGAGTGTGTCCATGTGGTTCCCTCACCAGGCTCCTCCGGGTGCTGCTGGATGTGTTCCAAAGCCAGCCTGTTGTAAGTCTCATTGATTTCAAAAACATAGTAGAATGCTGCTGCACTCGCTAATAGATACAATCCCACTCCAATCCATCCCATCCGCTGGCGGAAGTTCATCATTCTCCATGCTCTGTGCCTTAAAAAAGACAATACAGTTAGGGTCTAGTAATGCTATCATGGCAACTCTTCCAAACGTACTTGCTTTGCAGGGGGCTCACACCTGTAATCCCAACACTGGGAAGCTGAGGCAGAAGGAGCTCTGCGAGTTGGAGGCTAGCCTGAGTTACCAAAGTGAGTTCAAAGCCAAACTAAACTACGTAGCGAAACCTTGTCTTTTAAAAAAGAAAGAAAACCAAATGTACTTGGTTTAGTTCAAAGAGTTCTAAAATATCCCACTAACACATTCAAGATTTAAAATGATTACATTTAATTTAAATGCCAACAACTTACAGGTGGTTATTTTATGTAAGTTATGAGCAAGTACAAAACGTTGGTTTCAGTATACTGTTCTACTTTTCATGTGAACTCCACAAAATGAATTACATTATAATGTACCTTATGCTTAAATAAGTCCTGTACATCTTCCCTTCAGAAACTGAAATTAAAATATCCTATAGGACATTTCACTTAAGACAGATTTTATGCCTTAACAGTATTGCTTCAGACATGGATACTGGGTTGTACTAGTTAAACCAACGTCGGAGGCCCCAAGACAGCAACTCTTAAACACTTACAGTGGTCCCGAAAATCTTCCTGTTCCCACGGCAAGCGTTAAAGAGTCACTCAGTTCTGAGTAATCGAGTGCTTTTGGCATTTCAAAGCAAGCCACCATAAAAGAATCCCCTGGGTCACCCGGCTCGGAGAGACATGAGCACCACCAGGCTGGAGCACAAGCTAACTGTGATTAAGTACAGCGTGACCTGGGGTGGTCACGCGGTTGCCCGGCGCCTGTCGCCGCTGCCGGAGCCGTCTGGGTCGCCCGGCTCGCCAGGAGGCTCTGGGGC